ATTAGGGTATTGTTTTCTGCTTGATAGTTTATCTGTTGTTAATCCCTGCTTATCTGGGTGTAGGCTGCTGGACAGAATGTGTTCTGAACTTTTTGTTTCCTTCTTAACTTTTTAATTGTTTCTTTTGAATGGTGTGTAAATGTGGTTTATCTCTATGTGTCTATTGATGGCTGATTTGTTTGAATGCCAAGCTTTCAGGAGCTCCTTAGCATTTTTGGATTTAGCTTGGTCTAGGTTGCTCTTAACCAGGCTTAGCTTTTCATCTGGATAACAGGGGGCCACTCCAACAGTCCAACTCAACCAAGCAGTCCAAGTATAATGGTCAAGTTCCAAGGAGGAGTCAATTGTGGTTGTCATGTTCATCCCAAGGATCAGGAATTGATACAACATGCATGACACCTAGTTTCAAAGTAGACTGTTGCAGAAATTATTCCAGCAGAAGATCCTTTATTCCCCACTCAGATTCAGTTGAAGCTGAACTGCCCTGATTTACTGGTTTCAGTCCCCACAAAACTACAATCCAGATTCCTTCCATTCCATGTACCCATGCTTTCACTGTACTATCTTCTGGTTCTCCATATGTTGTCACATTTCAAGGGGTGAGGAGCCTTGCCTCCGTTTCCAAGTCAGAATCCTGTGTATTAGAATTTGGAGCAATGCAGCTTGCATTTGTTCATTTCCTACTGGAACTGGGGCCCAGTTCCTCAGTTGAAAGGATGATTGGCTTGCTTATATTCTGAGGAAGAAAGTGGGTCCAACTGGGGTCTGACAATACCCTCCTAACCATCTTTGGATGGGGGCTGGTTTATGGAAACTGGACATCAACTTCTGGAGATGGGTGTTCCTGGCATTTCCTGAGGATCTTAATTCTTGGCTTCTTCATTCATTAATCTCCCAATTAAGGTAGTACTCTATGCATGCATGAACTTGCACACATACATATAGACATTCAAAAAAAGCAGAATTCATCCTGTCTATCAGCTGGGGGGGGGCATGCTGAATGGACAAGATGGTCAAAGAGTAGTAGGGAATGATGAATAAACAGTGAGTATGAAATGAAGCAGAAAACTGAATTCTGAAGAACAGTGGATTGACTTGGGCAATGATATAGAAATGTAACAGGCATCCAGTTTCCATGTTCAACATTTTAACCTTCTTCCGGTCAAAGAGCTTAAAGTTAATAGTATAGCTGAACTGCTGTGGACACAGAGGTACTGGATTCCAGGAAGAAATAAGGACGGTACCATAGTTTTATAGAAGAGAAGTCTGCTGTGAAGAACATTAAAAAATAAGCACATCCTGTCAAGAACAGTTGTTCTAGCATGGCACTGGTATGCTTCATTTACCCTTCTGAATGAGGCAATGTGTAGAGGACAAGTGAAACCCTACTCCCATTAATTAGAATAAGTTCCATCAAAACTGTTTCGTGAACTGTGAACCTCTATAAAAAATTATGAGTTCTGGCAGGTCCTGCAAACAAAAAATGTGGTCAAGAAAAAGATGGGCTGTTTCTTGAGCAAAAGGGAAAATAGGGCATGGAATAAAATGGGACTATGACCTTTTGATTAAATTCAGGATGAAATCCAAGGAGATCATTTTCCAAGGATGGTAGTGACATTAATAATACTCCAATAGAAGAGAATAGGACTCCATATTAATAATACTGTTGTGGGTCCTTGTCACTTTTGTAGGGGCATGTCTTGTGGTGGCGGTGCAGTTCTGCTTTTATACAGGTCTGTTGGAAGTCCCAGAAAGTAAGGTATAGAGTCTTGAACCAATCAGACTGCAGGAGTGTTGTGACTCACCTATAAGATCTTGCCTCTCAACTTATCAGGTAGTACATAGATTTGGTCCTGATGGGGCAGCACATTTTCTTGGACCAAGGACAGGGTATATGATGAAGAATAAGTATTCTTTCCCATTTCCTTTAATCTAAATCAGGGTCAGGACAGTTGGAGCTGCATCTATTCCCCCCCCCCTTTTTTTTTGCATAGTCCCTAGGTTGCTGATTTGAGAATTCATTGGCTTCCTCATGTTGGGCCATGGCACATTTCATCAAAGTGCAATTCTTCCAGCTCATTTTGGTCGCTCTTTGCTGTGCCTGGCCCGTTTCTCATTAAGGATTTTTGAAAACTATTTTTATCATGAAGCAATTGTCCCCATCTACTATAATTTTTTAGCATCACTTCTGGAAATTGTAGTACTGCCGGTTTTACAGGAAGATTGATGAGGAGGAATTGGATGGTGGTGTATACCTTAGGTGCGTGGTACACAGTACTTTATATTTATATACTTTGAAGCATATTTACATATACTTTATATATTGGCTGAGTATGTGATACAGAATTAAACAAACATTTATTTTAGTTACTAAAGGATTATACTTGGGTTATACTTTGTTTTGCCCTGTCCTTGGTGGGACATCTGTGTATCAAATGATGATCTTTCTCATTGCCAATCCAAAAACTTTGGGAAACAGATACTTCTTAACTCTGAAATGTTCTCATTACCACCATCCATAAACAAATATTCTGTAATTTTGAGATGGTCTCATCACCACCTGGCATAAACAAATATTGAAACTTGAGATGGTTTCACTGGCACCTGACATAAATATAAATGCTCCTTAACCTTGATGGTCTCATTTCTGGTAGACAAGGCATTCCAAACACAAGATAAGATGAACTGGTCCTTGACAAACTCTAGTTACATAAGATCATCAAAAAGGGTTATGAGTAATGGTGGTTCAGAGCCTATGTAAGCTAGTCAAAATTCTCATGGGATAGAACTTTAGTGCAGACCTAAAAGAGAGGGCAATGCATGTTTGCTGGCTTTGAAGGGGTCCACCTGCTGTCATCTCTCCGGGGTTTCCTGACTGGCAGAAGGGGTGTAAGGTCTTTCTTTCTTTGACTTATGGTATTCTTCATTATTCTTGAATATTCTTTGAATGATGTCTGGGTTATATTATATTCTTCAGCATTCTTAAGTATTCTTTGATTGTCATGTTAAGTTATTATGTTATTTTCTTATACTGCCTTGGAATAAAGGTTTAAGTAGTTATACTGTGTGGTCATTGCTTCCAAATCTGGAAGGACCTGTGACCCAACACAGCTGGGCTGGGGACAGAGCAATACAGAAATGTCATCAACTCTGTTTTCACAGAAAACAAATCTTTGACAAAATACATCTTCAGGTTTGGTTGACTATTCTAAAAGCAAATACATACAACATGCTTTACCCTGCATGATAGCCATAGATAATTTAATTGAAAAACTTGATTGTTTTCTATAGACATTGCCAAATGAGCCAATTAGATGTGTTCTGTGAATGGATTTACATTATTGCCCCCCCTTCAAAGCCCATCCTGGCGGCATTACTTCTTGATGTACAGCACACGCTGACCATGCAGCTACTTTGCCTCCATAGGGGACCAATTAGAGAATGCTCTAAATAATTAATCAAAATGCACATTCTATAAAGAATGGCTCTAAACCAATCTTCAGGCTTCATTCCTCAAGAGTAATATTTAAGAATAAGACTTTGTTTAAAGTTCACCACATCTTTCTACCATTGACTTCTCAGTTGAGAGATCTGGGCTATATCCTATTACAAAGAGATAGCTAATCTATCAGGGTATCTTTCACATGCAGAGTTGCGTATGACAACACACCCTGCAGTTCTCTTTAGCCCAGGGAAAAAGCTGTGGAACAGTTATGCATGTACATTCCTGCGTATCCACAACCTGCAAAAGAAGAAGTAGCTGGGCAACTGTAATTTTGCTGGGAGTGGGAAAGATGCACACCTTACTCTTTTCTTGCTGGAGTTCAATTTGAATATCTGTGAGTTTTGCCCTGAGCTCTTCATTAGCAGCTTGCAAGGCAGCTAAGGCATCCGTTTTTTCTCCTTTAGCTCGAAAGCTGGCACTCTTCTTTGACATTGTGAGACGGTCTGGCAAGAGGGGTGAAAGCCCAGGCAGAAAGAACCTTCCGTTCTCATCTAGTCCTTGATTCTGTTCCACGACATGGTTTCAGTTCCCTGCATAAAGAGAAATAACCATTGTTGTGAATCCCAGAGGGACTGTAACTAGCATACAAGCATACACTGAACTTAAATGGAAAAAAAGGATTGAGGGGAAAGGCAACACTCAGAGAAGGATCTAACATCTCATATTCACTAGCATATTTATCAGGAGACATCAGAAATGCCAGGTGGTTTCCCAACAGAGCTTTGCAAGTTTTAAAAGGCTATGGATAAAGACTACAACTGTGGGAATTTGCAGGAGTTTGGGGTAGGGGATTTCTTTCTTTCTCTTTCTTTCTTTCTTTCTTTCTTTCTTTCTTTCTTTCTTTCTTTCTTTCTTTCTTTCTCTTTATTTATTTATTTATTTATTTATTTATTTATTTCTAGATTTGTTGAAATATTTGATACAGAAGTTTAGACAATCTCCAATTGTTTAGACAAAATGGGGATCTTTAATTCCTTATTCCAGGCTTTAAAATTCGTACATCAGATTGATTTATCAACAACATTATTTATAAAGACTAACTGTAGGATTTTTAATCTTATAATATGTGGTAATCATGTCTAATTTAGGTGTTTCTGAAGCTGAATGTGCCACTGCCCCAAACTGAGATTTCAATAAATGTTGTAGTTATAAATATTGCCAGTGGGTGGCAAAAGACAAATGATATTTGTCCTTTAACATAGGAAATGATTAAAAATGCATCACTATCATTCAACAATTGATCTAAAATAAAAATCCCAGCATCCATCCAAATCTTCAATAAACAGATCAATTTCAAGGTCTGGATCATTCTTTAACTTCAATGTAGCATGAAAAAAAGGATCAAAATGCAATTAGAAATAGTATACTACAATATTCATATCAATTTAACAGTCATATAATGAAATGTGATTCTTCTTAAAAAAACTATTGTGCAAAACTCTATGTATCCATAGTGTGTACATATATACACACTATATATACATGTGTGTGTGTGTCTCTGTGTGAGAGAGTATATAGTAGAGAACCAGTGTGGTGTGGTAGTTAAGGTGCTGGAGTAGGAGCAGATAGATGCAGGTTCTAGTCCTCCCTTAGGTACAGAAGCCAGGTGGGTGACTTTGGGCCAGTCATTAACTCTATCTCCTAGACTGGGAAACTGAAAAACATCTATCCAGCCACTTGCACTGGACAGGTTGGTAGGTTATGGTCCATGATCTTCAGTGAAGATGCCTTCATCCTGCAGTGGATTGATCTGGGTTCTCTCTCTCTTTCTCTCTGTGTGTCCTTCCTTCCTTCCTTTTCTGTTTAATTATTGAATTATTAAGGCATAATAATAATATTTCAAAGGAGCATTGTCCCCAAAACTTTGCACCAATTACTATGGAATTTGGCACTCTTTGTAAAACTCTAAATTCCCCACAAATGTTACACTACACTACATTAGAATATGAAACATGACCTTCATTGTTCCCAATCTTTTTCTTTGCATCAATTGAACCTGCACAACTTGTGAAGTAAGTGGGTTTATATCAGGCCATTTCTGGAGCTCCAAATCAGGCACCTGCAGATGAGATGGTTTCTTCACATCTCTAGTGAATAATCACACAATCTTTATTTTAAAATCTGCCTTCAGGAATGCACAAGTGAACCACCAGTTGTACACAGCTTGCACAATCCATCTGAAGTTTTTTTTTTCAGAGAGAAAGAAACCTACAACAGCACTATACCTTTTTCTCCCATGATTACGGCAATACTGTGGATTCCTATATTAAAAAGTTTAAGAATATTTGGTTTGGAAAACATGTAAATGGGAATTGGTTAAAATGATACTTATTAAAGAGGCAAGTAAAATGGATTTCATTTCTTCCAGTACATAATGAAAAAGAAGTTGTTAAGGGGATATTTTTGAGCTAAGAAACATTTTAACTGTATAATGACATTTTCTGTTAAGTAAATTGGCCTTTCTGAATAGTTATAAAATAATATGCTTTACTGAATGGCAGAAAAGAAATGTTACAGGAAGATTAACACAGAGCATTTGAATTAAGCCTTTAGAAAGGAAAAGAAAAATAAAATACTGCCATTAACAATACTGGGTGATTCATGGTAAACATTAAGGATTTGATTAAAGTCAGCATGCATTTTCCTTCTACTATTGTTTCCTTTTTTTAACCAATTAACGCCAATCAAATCTATAATGCTACACTATCCCAAGGCATAAGATAGAAATATTTTTTGACAGACATTTTTATATCCACTGCCATTTGGCCTAAGAGATTTTGGTAAGTTAAAATTAAATGTTAATAGTTTAAGGCTGAATATGATGGAAGAGGGAGCATGGGGGCAGGGAGGAATCATACCATGGATAGGATTTTAAAGAATGTAGGTTTTCTCTGGATATATTTGCTTCCCATTCTGAGTATTCTCCTTTTTCATGACCACATGGAGACCCCAACACATTCCCAAACTCTCACATGCTGTTACCAACCCCTAACACATTGTACTTTTATGATGAAATGGGTATAGCAATACTGCTTCTTCATAATGGCTTAAGGAGAAATATCCACAAAGGAATGCTGAAACTAGGTGACAGAATCTCAGAGATTAAAGCAGATACACAAAACTTGGGGAGTTAATTTATGCCCTTAACTGATGATTTTATAAGGGGGTTCTGTGAACACTGATGCCTGATGATTGAATAGTGTTTATTAAATAGGAATGTTCAGACACTGGGATGCACCAAACAAACCAACAAACCAATGGAAGTGACTAATTATAGACTTATTTAATAATTAGTCTAAAAGTTCCCTAAAATTATAGCCTTACTACAGGACTGTTCAATTCTTTAAGGTCAATACACCCTCCCGTCCAGACCTACCTATCTATTTGATTTATACCTGTTCATTTTGCTCTGATGAGCACCCAGGGCAGCTAACAAAATTTAAAACAAAACAGAATATAAGGTTGAAATTAAAAATAAATTAAATGATAAAGTCATCTAACTATTAAAATCCTGGCGAAAGTGATAGATTTTTATATATTTCCTAAACACCATGACAGCGACAGCCATCACAAGTCCTGAAGTCTTATTCTGCATGCCACAAAGATGAGTCTCTAATAATGAGGGCATCTTCCAGGTACCCTAATTTGCTGATCTAGACAGGTTCATAATAATAAAGGCAGCCACTTAGACAAAGTGTTTAAGTGTTAGTTAAAGGTGTTTAGACCCTTAAGGTGTTTAGACATCTTAAATTATGGTCAGTAAACAACTGGCAAACAATGCAAGTATATCAATAGAGGCATTATATGATCCCCACGCCATGCATCAGTTGGCTTCCATGTCTCATACCAACTGCACTTCTCATCTTTTCAAGGAAGCCCCATGGAGACTGCCTAGCAGTAGTTAAGATGAGACGTACCCAAGATAAGGAAAACCATCAGCACACAAAGTGTAACTGCAGAAGAATTCCTCACCAGAGCTGCTACCTGCAAATCCTGTAACAGCTAAGGCTCAAAGAGCATTCCTAAACTGCAAAACTGATATATCATGGAAAACGTAGCTCCTTCTAAACAGTGTGAACCTCAATCCCCAAGTCCAGTTTCCTATTTAACAACAGTACCTTTGTCTCATCTGAATTTAATTTCAGCTTGTTCTTTCTCATCCAGCCTATACTCAGGTTTAGGTAGCATTCAATTACTTTCTTGGAAATGGAGGGTAGCAAACAGTAGAAATGAGTATCATCAGCATATTGATGATATCTCACCCAAGCTCTGCGTGAGGGCCTACCAGTTTCATGTAAGTAGCATGAGGCACAAACAGAAACCCTATGGATAATATAGGTCAGTGGCTTAGGTGTTCAACAGAAATTCACCAGAGCCAATTTTGGGGCATGGTCTGACAAGAAGGATCAAAAATATTTTAAAACAGTGACAGGCCTAGGTGCACCATGTTATCCAGAAGTGAGAGGTTCAGGAGAATGAAAAGAGCTGTATCTCCCCTACCCAGTTTCCAGCACACATCATTCATCAAGGTGATAAAACACTTTCAGTGCCATTTTCAGGTTGAAAGCCCAAGTGAAATCAGAAAATCAGTATCATTCAGATGCATCTGGAGCTGTGAGGCTACTACTTTCTCAATCACCTTTCCCAGAAATGAAACATCTGAGACAGGCATAAAATTCTAAAGGTCACCCAGGTCAAGGGTAGTTTTCTTCAGTGATGATAATTATTGATTATTACTTCCTTTAGGCTATGGGGAAAACATCCTTTCTAAAAAGACATCATTCATCTTCCTTAACCATGGGGTCAAGAAAGGTGTTTGATTTAATCAGCCTCAAGAGGTAAAGGTCAAGTGGCAGGTTGTGATCCTCATTTCCTCAGATACCCAATCAACATCATCAAGATCTATTAGCTGAAAGGAATCCCAAAAAGCATGTTAATCGGTTGCTGAGGTTACACTCCTATGACATACCAAATTTTTCATATCATATCACAAACTATTGAAGCTTCTTGACTCTAACTCACAGTATGGAAAAGCAATGCTCGCCTCTTCCATGCAGATACGATACAGGTAGTCTTTGACTTACGACTACAGGAACTGGAACATTTGTTGTTAAGCAGTGCAGTCATTAAGCAGGGTGTCATGTGACTGCACCTGATTTTACGACTTTTTTTGCGGCAGTCATTAAGTGAATCACACAATCGTTAAATGAATCACATGGTTCCCCGTTGATTTTGCTTGTCGGAAGTTGGCTGGGAAGGTTGCAATCATGTGACCCTGGGATGCTGCAACCATCGTAAATACTTGCTAGTTGCCAAGTACCTGAATTTTGATCACAGGACCATGGGGATGCTGCAACGGTCATAAGTGCAAGGATCGATTTTCAGTACTGTCATAACTTTGAATGGTCACTAAACGAATGATCTTAATTTGA